TTTCTTTTTTCCCATTAGTACATACATATTTATAACTTTATTCCAGCGTGGAAAATCGGAAGTTATTACTATTTTAATGACATTTCTATTTTGCATTTTATGGAGGGTTAAACACAATTTTCTTGTCATAAAACTTGGTAAGACTTAACTCTGCTACATATTTGATTTAAAGTTTAGAAGTCAAGTTCCCTACTACAGTACAAACGCTTCGTTCGAATTTTGTGAGATAAACTAGTTAGCCCTTTTAATTCGCGTACCAGGGTTTTAAAAAATTTTATTCTTTTTTATAAAACGCAAAAATTCGCCAAAATTTTGACTTTTTACCAACTATAACTAAGCGTATTGAAACTTAATCATATAAATTCATAAAATGGCTGAGTTTAAGCTGGGAAAAGTCGAAATTTGGTAGAATATTTGCGATTCAAAAAAAATACCAACACCAAGCACCGCCCTACTATGTATGTTTGCTAGGTAAAATTTTTCAACATTTCTGGTACCTACATGTTTTCTAATATTTTTCTTATTTTTGGGGTGCTTAGGCACCAAGTATTTTATGTTTTCCTTTGCACACTTGCATACGTAATAATATAAAATTTTTGATATATGTATGTATGTATACTAGCCCTAGCAAAATTTTTTGTAGGACTATGTAGAGTAGAAAAAAGTGATCATTTTTTATTTTTATTTTTTTGATTGATTTTTCGGTTTTTTGAGACTTTTTAGCTTTACACAAAAGTGTTTTAGCGTTCAACAAGAAAAAGAAAATTCTTAAAAATCTGATTAAAAAGTTGAAAATTTACGTGAAAATTTATAGAATTTTCGCGAGTTTTGCACAAAGTTTAGAAATTATATTTTTATGTTTTTTGTTGTCGAATGAACCATGGTTTTATAAAAAAAATTGCGGAAAAATATTAGCATAGAAATTGGTACATTTATTGAGCAAAATTCGCTGTACCAATACTTTTATCCGGCATTGTATATGGCCAGCAGAGTTTTCCACCAAATTTTGAAACTAAATCTCAAATGGTTTCTGTCCTCGCTTTAAAATGTGATAGTTTTGATAAAATGGTAGACAAGTTCTCCCTCATGGAAAGTAGAACAAAACCTTCGCTAAGGGAGCGATCTCGCCGGTAATGTCCATAAAATAGTCTACCCACTAAGCTTTAAGCCACCTAACTTCTTTCCACGGTCCACTGCTCAACAAGGCTATCTAAAGAGTCGTACGTATATAAGTAGGACGCAAAGCGAGCTATGCTATAGGTATGCCGAAGAATTGTTGTCCAAAGCAGATGGAAATTATGGAATTATTAGCTGAAAGCATACCCAGTTATCAGAGGTGTTTTGAATCGTAGATACTAAAATACAATTTAATTCATCATTTTTAGCAGCCTATACATATGTATATAATAAATAATAGTTATTACTCGATATTTCAAATATTATAATAATCTATAAAATGTATAATCAATTTGTCTATATGTCTAGATACTCCATTGCCATCTCCGCCTTCAGCTCTGCCCCTCCACCAACCCCACTCAATTATCTTAAATCCATTTGCATTGACTTCATTTCATTTTTCATTGAATTTGTTGCGTCTTATCGCTGCAAAATGTAAATTGGTAAACAAGTCATCGATACCGTAAATGTCGCACGATTTGCGACGTCAGCGAAACGGGTGAATGGACAAAGGCATTTGTACAAGCGTACAAGCAGTAGCATTGTGCCGGTTTACAAAGCACGAAGATAGGGAGTTGATAATTAAAGTAAATAAAGAAGACCAACTTGTAATTGAATAGAAGACCACACAAGCTGAGCAAAGTTTTTGTTTTTAATAAATGAAAAGATTGTGTTACTTTACTTGAGTGCCTCGGTTAAATATTTTTTATTCTTCCTCTTGATTGACCCTCTAACCGCTTAAGCGATTCTGACCGAGTCCAATAAAGCCAGAGAGTCGTTTCTCTTTTGTTCTAACTGTCGCTAAATGGAATCACCAAGTGAAGTCAAACTCTTCTCCATCTTCTGATCTTCTCATACGTCTATATCTAATATCGAGTATTAAATATGTTTATGGCATGGTTTGTGCTTGTACTTATACTTATTATTGTTAAAAAAAAATTTAATCAATCGTACATTTTATTCTGCCAAGATAACATAACACACGTTACGTTTCATATCAGATATAATCATTAACGACCCATTCAGTAAAAACCCAACAAAACATGAGTCATCCATTGAAAAGCTAAATTCACGATAAATCTATGTAGGTATGTACTACATACATATCGTCGTTTAAAGTACAAAACCGCGTATCGTCATTCTGCAAAACCGCGTAACTGACATTGGCTGCCAAAAATTGGCCCTGAAATATACTAGCCAAAAATGCGATTGCTTTATAAAAAAGAGAACTATTTTGAAACAAGAGTGTTTTTACTCTCTAGAAAAAAATTTACGCAACCTCACATACGCGGTTTTGCATTTTGTTGATACGCGGTTTTGTTCTTTAAACGACGATATTTAAGAAGGGGGTTGTGGCTGCCGTCGACATTTTTTGAGGAGCGCCGAATTCCCATTTTTAAAGTGTTGTTGAATTCACTACACATACATTCCAACGTGTGGTGAAGAAAGGTGCTCACCCGCGCAGAGATTCACTATACCCGGGTGTGGCTAGAAAAGCGCCGAAACCCGACCGATATCCTAAGTACTCTATAACGGACAGAGTTTTTGAAGGGTCCGCATCCAGGCTGATCCTCGTCACGAATCATATGCCGCGTTGAGGTGGCTCTTGGAAAATGGAAACGGTAAAGGAGTTCAAACTGGAATTTTCGTTGAGATGGCTGTTAAAAACTAGGAAAAAGATTTTTCCTTAAGAGCACTTCTACCCATAAGGAGACTGCGTGGAGAAATTTTTGGGCTTTTGGTTTGCTATTCTATGCTTTTTGAATGAGTTTAGCTGATTTTCACAATTTTTAAGGCACAGTATTTTTACGAAAATATACAAAAAAAAAAGTAGTCAAACTGACCCTTTGGAGAGCAAGAGATACATGTTTCCAAAGAGTTCTTTGAGCTGTTTTTCGACGCATTTGAAATATGTCTCATTTAATAGAACATTTTTGGAGCACAAACAATATTTGTGCCAATAAATAAAAAACGTAAATTAAAATATTTTCTTATTTCAAAATTAGTTTATTTAGCCCTGAAGAAATCATAATATATACATTAAACCATAATACTTTTACACATATGTAGACTGGCCTATATTTCATTACAGAATTGTCTCTTAACTACACATATTCTAGACATTTAGTTATTATTATATGATATTTATTTATTTATTATTATTTTATATGATATTTCATTAGATATTATTTAAACATAAAAATAAATATATCGTCGCTTGGCGTGCAATACCGCGTATATGATAGTCCGAAAATTTCACAAAAGTGCAAATAAGCTTATTTCCTTCTAAACGTTTTAATGGTTTTCCAAATGAAATTATTAAATTGGAGCTTCTACTAAAATTATTGACCATTATATTTGTGAAGTAGGCAAGCACTGAGACAGGGTACCAAAAAAAACAAAAATTTCTCAGCCACCTCATACGCGGTATTGCATTTTGCGTAAACGAGGTATTTTTATATACAGTGACTGAAACAAGTATTCACATGTTAATTTTTTTTTTATATTTAAAAAAAAATGTTTTTCATGCTTTACCCCAAAACTGTATTAATCAAAGTTTCAAACTTTATACATTATTTGGAGACATTCAAAAAAATTTTATAAAAATTTTGAACTTTTTTATATAATTTTTTTTTACAGAACCAAGGAATATGAAACAAGTAGTAGCATTAAAGCAAAAGCAACATTTGCATACATTTACTTTGTTACTGCTTATGGTCTCTAAATTATCAAAAAAATAGTTTGCTTTTTCTAAATCAACCTTATCATGAGTTTCATTTTCCCCGAACCGGTTCACTTTTCACTAGTGGGTTTCCACGGTTTTACTATGGGCGGAGGACAAATTTTTGGGTGGACTTTTTTCAGGCGGAAATCAGGATAAGGCAGAATATCACATGTGCAATAAGAAAAAAATGTAATTTTTTCTTGGTAAATTTTTTTGCTTCCAGATGCACTGATCCATTCTTTGCAAGGCCCAATAATCAGCGTTTGTGCTTCTGAGTTAAGCGAACATTCCAAAAGATGGTTTTCAATCTCTTCTTCTTATGTAAAAAGTTTCACATTAAAATAGATTTTGGTAATTTAGAATTTTCGTGAAAAAATAATAACAGTGTTTGACACTTTAAATAGCAAATAATTCGAAAAAATATGCCTTGTGTAGAACTTTTTACAGAAGTTTTTAGAAATTTAAATTATACTTGTTATTCAAAAAAGCCGTAAAAGCCATTAGCAATACAAGAAATTATTAAAAATCAACTCGATTTTTTAGCCGCTTGAAACTTGCACTGAAATTGTATCGGCTATAAAACTGACTACT